GCCTGGCCTCAAATATATACTCTTACACCCAAACCGTGACACAATTCTACTTTAATGCAACTTCTAAACAAATATAATTTTACACATAGTAAATCTTCACCACCTATGTATGAACTCTAAACTGAAATAATACATGAGAGCAGTCTGACTGAACTTCTCTAAAGGGCTGCTCCTGGGCTGTAGGCCTCCATCTATAATCTCCATCTATAGAAGTAAGACTTCTAAGTAAAACTCATTTTAATTCTTTAAAATATTAATTTTTTCTTCAGTCAATAGGTAGGTAAATTCACAACGTTGAAAACCTTCAATAATTTTCCTCCAGTTATTTGCTTAAAGGTGTATAATTTGGTTTCAACTTTATCAGTGGTGTTTTCTTTCTTAGGTAATTACCCATGGGTACATGGGTTATTTTTTACCCTTTCGTGTATCTTAAAGATTTAATTTTTAAAAGAGGTATATAATTCCAATAAAAGTCATTGTTTTGGGGAAAAAGTTCAATATTATTTCCATTTATAACTGTCCAAGAATATCTTGATGAAAATTAACTTTACCTTCTAAAATTAAACCATTTTACTAGTAAAAAGAAAAACCTTCCATTCAAAATAAAATATGAATTCTATGAAATACTAATACCTCAGAAATGTAAAGATCAGCTTGTTTTAGTAACTCTCCAATAATTAGAACATTTGAAGTAGTACCATCTCCTGTGACATCATCCTGAGCTGTTACTACTTTGGCTATCAAAGAAGCTGTTGGATGTTGAATTTGCTGGAAAAAGCAAGCAACAGATTAAAAGAGAGAGAGGATGAGATAAGGAGGTAGGCCATGAAAAACACGATAACCTAAGGGTCAATAGTAAAATTATGAAATAAGCTTCATTCTACAAGTTTATAAGTTTTATATTATCAATATTTAAATGTCAAGTTCAAAATTTAAAAAGTGAAAAGTAATGAGGTCTAAACACATTATAAAAGCCTTTGCTTCAGAAGGCAATGGCATTTCTAAAATTAGATTAAATCCTTAAATCTCAAAGATGAATACATGTACTAAAATTGCAAAGGATTTTTTATTTTTCCACGATTACAAAGAACACAATGCAGTGCCCTTAAAAGATGTTATTAATTTGTAAGTATCCCTAAGCTATTACTTGAACAAAGCTTTGGAAATAGCCAAAAAACATTTTTTATTGAGGTTTAATCCAACAAGCATATCTCCACACTGCAGCATTTAGCTGATAGCCTTGGCTTGAAGATATACAAGTTGCACCATGTTCCTAATTAAGGCTAATTAAGGTTTATTAAAGTCAGTAGCATCAACTCACCATCTCATGGAGCAGCACATTGCCATCTTTGGTGAGTTTGATGTCACCTGCACCAGAAACAAGCCTGTTCAGAGAACAGTGATGTTATTAGCCTCACATGGCAAGACACTCCCAGTGCTTGCCACTCTACTGTCCTTACTACAGGGAACTGGGCTTGGAAAACTTCCACTGTACCATGGGGAGATACCATACCATAGTAATTACCACCACTTGCAGCTCACAAAATCATTTTTCTCCAGATGGACTGCTTATGGCAATTTCATCCCAAGTGGAGCATTTACAAGTTTAAAGATAAGAGTAGTTGATGAGTTGTGAACAGTGGTTTGGTCAAAGAAGAATACTTAGAAGTCTACAAAGCACAAATTTGCAAATTTCCTGTAGGTTTTATTAATATATTTTGGTGAATGTTCTCATTCAGTCACTCAACTTAGTTTCCCTCATCCCTTACATTTATTAGATCACCAAGTTCTGTCAATTCTACAACCTAAATCTCTTGAACCTGCCTCCTTCTCTCCATTCCCACTGTTATCACCATCTCTACCCTGGACTACTGAAGACAGTTTCCTGGTATCTCCAAATTTGAATCTACCCTCCATACTACATTTATCTTTCTAAAAGACAATGTGACTCAGTTCCCTGATGAAAAATCCTTCAGTGATTTCTATATTCTTCATCATCTTCAAGGTAAAATCCAAACTAATTTAGCAATAACATACTTAACCTTTCCCAATCTCACTTATATCTATCTTCCCTGCCTCATCTACCTTCCCACAAACAAATCTTTGTGGGTTTTTTTTTTATAATTTTGGTTGTGAGGAGGGGTGTTTAGTTGCCTTGTTTGTTTTTGTTGTTTTTGTTGAGACAAAAGACAGTTCCCCTCTATCGCCCTGGGTACAGTGTAGTGGTGTCATTATAGCTCACTGCAACTTCCAACTCCTGGGCTCAAGCGATCCTTCTGCCACAGCCTCCCGAGTAGCTGGGACTACAGGCATGTGCCCGCAACGCCCAACTGGTTTTTTGTTTTGTTTTGTTTTTTCCTTTCTTTTTGGTAGAGACGGGGGCCTCACTCCTGCTCAGGCTGGTCTCAAACTCCTGAGCTCAAACAATCCTTCTGCCTCGGCCTCCCAGAGTGGTAGGATTACAGGCGTGAGCCACCGCGCCCGGCCAAACCTTTTCATTTCCTTAATACATCACGTTTTGTTTTTTTCTGTTGTATTTGCAACATTGGGCTTTCTTATTTCCGAAATTACTCTACCTAGAAGGGTTTTACTCCCTTCTCCAACTGATGAATTCTTATTCTTCTTTCAAGACTGATCAAACATCATCCATTGAGAGCCTTTTCCTTCTGCCGTCAGTCCCTTTCCTCAGTATAATGACATGCAGCTACATATAATTAGCATATCTGTCTCTACCAAATCTAACAACAGAAACTGTATCTTGGTCATTCCTGTGTTCCCAGCATCTAGTACTTAAGTGCCCTCTTTTACGACTAATTTTATTATTATTTTGCTCGTTCCTGTGAGGACGTTCTCTCTCCTCTTATACCCTTTTGCCCTCACTAGTCTCTTTTCCTCACTCTTGTCTAAAGAAAATGGAGCTATATAAATATATGCTGAAAGGCCGAACAGATAGGAAGAACCGTGGCCACAGAGCATTCAAGTAACTTGCCTAAGTACTCACAGCTACAAGGTTACGGAACTTGGATTTGAACCCATGCCTTGCTGGCTCCAAAGCCCGTGCCTCTCCACTCCAACATACTGCCATACAAAAATAAGATTATCTGTCGAATTTGTAGACTACGGGCGTACAGTCTTAAAGAGCAGAGGAGTTTAATGCTTTATGTTTCCTATGAGACACTAAAGGAACTGACTTTCTAATTGTACACGAACTTTAACGAAAAGGGGGGACGTCACAGCTTCATTCATGGGGCACTTTCCTCGGGGAGGCTTTTCTACTCCTCCCCCAACGAGCTAAGGACGCTCTCAGGGCAGGAACGAGAACCAGGGAAACCAGGCCCGGGGTGCGTTCACATCGCTCCAACATCCGCGGAACCCCTGCCTCAGAGATCGCCCCGACAAACCTCCCCCGCCTAACCGCCGCCTCACATTTTCATGGTGCCCTTAGGACCCAAGTTGGTCCGCAGCACATCCTGCAGCCCTCGGGCGGCGCATACATTGATAGCCAAGGCCGCCTGCGCCCGCGCCACCTCAGCCTTGGAGTTTACGGCCTTTATCGCAGCCATAGCCTAACTAACGGTTAAACGTAAAAACAGCCTCAGTCGCCATTCTGAGCAAAAACCCTGGCGCCACGCCCTACTCTTGTGTCTCAGCCAATCATCGCTGTGACCGGAAGTGACGTTATTACACCGCGACGGAACGGAAACCAGAATCGCCTTCGGTCTGGTCGCCAAGATGGCGTCTTCCGCCTCTGCTCGGACCCCGGCGGGGAAGCGAGTGGTGAATCAGGAAGAACTGCGGCGGTTGATGAAGGAGAAGCAGCGTCTGAGCGCAAACCGGAAACGGATTGAATCTCCATTCGCAAAGTACAACCGTTTGGGGCAACTGAGTTGTGCCCTGTGTAACACTCCGGTTAAGAACGAGCTCCTGTGGCAGACTCACGTCCTGGGAAAGCAGCACCGAGAGAAAGTGGCCGAGCTGAAAGGCTCGAAGGAAGCTACTCAGGGTCCTTCTGCCAGCTCAGCGCCTCCGTTCGCCAAGAGGAAGGCTCCGGACACAGACGCCCAAGATGCCAAGAGAGCGAAGACCTCCTCGGTTCCTCAGGTACAACCCTCCACATCCGCTTTGCCCACCAACTTTGACAAAACAGGAAAGGAGTCCACTAGAGCGACCTCCAGTAAGCCTTCAGGACTCGGTTTACTCCCCGATTATGAAGATGAGGACGAGGACGAGGAGGAGGAAGAGGAGGGAGGAGAAAGAAAAAGGGGGGACGCCAGCAAGCAGCCGCCCGATTCACAGGGCAAGGACCATTCACTTTCTTCCTCGCGGGAGGTAACAAATAGTGTGCTGCCAAACGATTTTTTTAACACAAATCCTCCCAAAGCCCCCTTAATTCCTCATTCAGGGTCAATTGAGAAAGCAGAAATACATGAAAAAGTGGTGGAAAGGAGAGAAAACACCGCGGAAGCATTGCCGGAAGGATTTTTTGACGACCCTGAGGTAGATGCAAAGGTACGAAAGGTTGATGCTCCAAAGGATCAGATGGACAAAGAGTGGGACGAATTTCAAAAAGCCATGAGGCAGGTCAACACTATTTCCGAAGCCATAGTTGCTGAAGAGGATGAGGAGGGACGGTTGGACCGCCAGATTGGGGAAATCGATGAGCAGATAGAGTGTTACCGTCGGGTGGAAAAACTGCGGAATCGCCAGGATGAAATAAAAAATAAGCTTAAACAGATTCTGACCATAAAAGAACTGCAGAAAAAGGAGGAGGAGAATGCTGACAGCGATGATGAGGGAGAACTACAGGATTTGTTGTCTCAGGATTGGAGGGTGAAAGGGGCTTTGTTATAAGGTTTTTAAAGACCCAAGATTTTGATTTTTTTTTTTTTAACAGTTTCTGCATTGTATAAAAAGTGCTGTCTCAGTATATCGGTTATTTCATGCCTAGTGATTTGGGTATCTAACTGGGTCGTTAAGATAAAATGAACCAGTTGAGCTACAGCACTTTGGAAAATCAGTGTAAAATATTTTTGAGATAAGGCTGTTTTTGAAATTTTTGAAGTGTTACATAGCAAAATGCCAACTTTTCCACACATTTAACATGTTTGTATAATTTTGAGTTATAAATACATAGTGAAATATATATTTACTTAAGTAATTATTTTGAAAGTTTTTAATTAATAGAAGTTAGACCAACAGGCATTTAGATTAATACTCTGTGCTATTTGGGATGTTTACCACTAAATCAAACTCAAAAGGTTGGTTTTATTTTTTGTTTATTTAGAACACTACTCAAACACATAAGTCACTGTAGGTTAATCAGTTCTCTTTCTGAGTATTCTTTTTTCAAAAACATGCTTTAGTAGAACATCAAGAAAAATATATGCCAAACATGACCAGCCTCCTTAAACCAAAATTTGCCTTGACTAGACTGGTGCTTGTCAGATGTAAGTGCACATGAGAATCCCCTATGATGAAGCTTTAAGAAAAATTACGGTGTCTGAGGCCTTACCTTTCAATAAATCTGGGGTGGGGCCTAGGCATCTATATTATTTTTGAAAGCTCCCAGGTTATTCTGAGGTATGCCAGAGTTGGAGAGTAACTGCCCTAAATCCAGAACCCATTTATATCTTTTTGGGCCTTGCTTTTTCTTTAAATAACACATTCAACAAATTTACTGTTTCTTAAATGCAAAAAAAATTAGCTTTTATTTCTGTCTTATCCAGTATTAAATTTTATTTTATGGTAAATTAGGGTTCATGGTTTACAGGTTTTATCTATTGGAGGAAGGACATTTTAAGTTTTTCCAGCAGTAACAATTGGCTAGTGCTGGTCATTGATAGTTTAAATCACTCCTTCCTCCTTTGGAGAAGGAGGTTGAGGTATTCAAATATGAAAAGAGAATTAGCAGTGTTCTGGAGAAATGCATACAGTATATTCAAATAAAAGTGAGCCATACTAATGATAGCTAAGACTTATCTAGTTCTTAATATAGGCCAGGCAGGGATCTAAGTACTTTATATATACTAACTCAGTCTAGTTTCACTAAAGCCCAGGTTTTATGGAGGGGAGTACCAAGAGATAAGATCTGAAAAGCTCTGACTGCTAGATGAAATAATTCTTTCTACAAGCAATGGGAAAATAAACTGGAGGTTTTGAACAAAGAATTAATATCTGCAAAAAAATATGGAAGATTAGTTGCAGTATATAGAATGGAAGGAACACAGAGGGGAGAAGGAAGCTGGGAGACTACTGGAAAACTACATTTTCAAAAGTGAGGTGACTAAGGTTTTAATTAGATGTGGATTGGCAGAAAAGGAATATAATTGAAAGAATTTCACAGGAAGAGCTAACATTTTAGTGAGTAGAAATGAGAGAAGAAAAACGGGGGATGAAGATGGGACTCAAGGTTTTGTTTGTTTTTAGTGTCAGTGTCTAAAAGAAGTTATCTAACACTCACTGAGCAGTTGATATGTGCCACAAATTATTAATTGTCCTGCTGTCTTTGGCACAAAGTCTTTCTTGAGCTACCAGCTGCTCAGTGATAACAATTTTGGTTTGATGACACAGAGTGCCTGCCTCAAACAGATGAACCCAGACTCAGAATTTTCTGTTATTCATCACTTTATTATTTCACCAAGAAAGTACAAATACGAGTTGCAAGGGTGGGCCCAGTTCTACCATGGTTAATGATCTGGAGGAGCACTAATGCAAGCCATAGGTATATTTCACATTTTCTAATAGTCAATTAAAGTAAAAAGAAATGGGTGAAATTAGTTTAAATGGTTTTTTTTTTTTTTTTAATGAGACATAGTCTTGCTCTGTGACCGGGCTTAGAGTGCCATGGCATCAGCCTAGCTCACAACCTCAAACTCCTGGGCTCTAGCAATCCTGCTTCAGCCTCCCGAGTAGCTGGAACTACAGGCACACACCACCATGCCCGGCTAATTTTTTCTATTTTTTAGTAGAGATGGGGCCTCACTCTTGTTCAGGCTGGTCTTGAACTCCTGACCTCAAGTGAGGCCTCCCAGAGTGCTAGAATTACAGGCATGAGCCACCGCACCGGGCCTATTTATTTTCTAAAAGTTGGGGGGGGGGGTCTCTGTTGCCCAGACTGGAGTACAGTGGGATGGTCATAGCTCACTGCAGCCTCAAACTCCTGGGCTTAACTGATCCTCCGACCTCAGCCTCCCAAGTAGCTGGGACTACAGGCACAAGCCACTGTGCCCAGCTGATTTAGTTACTCCAGTATATCCAAAATATTAATAATTAACATTTCAATACATAGTCAATATTTAAAGATTAATGAGATTTTTTTTGTACATTTTTGCAATCTGGGTGTATCTATCTAACAGCCCATCTCAGTTTAGGCTAGCCACATTTCAATTACTCAATAGCCATACATGACTAGTGGCTACCATAAAGGACAGCACAGATCTAAAGAGAAAGGTATCCAGGTGAAAAAATTAAACATACTGAGGAGGTAGTGAGCAGACCAATTTAAGTAGAGCAGAAGGTTCACTCCTGGCAACAGCGGGATTTATGATTGGAAAGGGAGATTATGGAGAATGTGGAGGGCCTTGTGCCCTGCTCTAAGGAATTTGAACATTCTCTAAGTTAACAATTTATCCTTGAAGGTTGAGTCCGTAATTGTAACACAGTTACTTAAAGAGCTTAAAAATTATCAGGTGTGTGTGACTGCTCATATGAACCCCCACTGGGCTTTTAGGAAGGCCTAAAAGCCCTCAAAATCAGATCCCAATGCTCTATCCCAGAGCAGCAGGGAGGGGGCCCTTATTTGAGATCAGTGTAAACAGCTACAGGAGTTAGTGCATCCTTCCTGATCCTCCACACATTGGGAAGCTCCTTTATACCTTCTCTGAGCTAAGTCAAATAGGTTTTGGTATTAGACTGAAAACCATTAACGTTCCCAAATTGTAAGAATTGGTCCTAAGGACTCCTTCCAGTCACTTCCATTTTTAGAGAGCCCCCTAATTCAGCCAACATCACAATATAGAATTATTATAAATGCCATAAAGGTATCCTCTCACCTCACTTACCAATTTAAATCAGTCTAACTTGGAAGAAAAAAATGCTGATCCAGCCAGCTTTTGAATGTACATTTGTCAGTGCCTGAAAATTTACAAAATGTATTTCATTTAATGATGGAAGTAATGACTGCTTTTTACACACCAGGGAATGAAATAAGAAGCTATGGAATTAAAAGTGTAGGAAAAAGATGTAATTTAGGCATAAAACCTTTAATAGTAACAATCACTAGATTAGTATGTAGTGATGGAAAGAACAAGGGAATTGGCAACACAGGACCTGCATTCAAGTTCCCACTCTTACCTTTTTTAACGGTTAACGATCTTGGGCAAGTCACCTCTCTGAAACTTAGTTTGTTTCACTGTAAGATGAGGATGTATAATTCCTCATAGGCTTGTGGTGGGAGTCCAGTGAGACACAGACTCATTCTAATGAACACAGAATGAAACGTCTTAATGGAAATACTGTTTCCTGTCAATGAAGCACCAATTGGCTAGCTACTTTTCTGAATGTTGTGCTGTGGTTTTGAATGAATATATGGGTGGGAATGGTGGCTGGAGAGATGACCTTCGATTGCTTTTTAATATTAAGAGTCTACTAGTCTGTATGATACCAGGAATTTAGAAGATTTAAATTTGACCACAAAAAATCCTGGGACTCAATGCATTCTATTCTATATCTACATTTCCTCCCTCAATGATCTTAAGCATCACCTGTGGGTTTAAGTATCACCTATATACTGAGGACTCTCAAGTTATGTCCCCAACCTTGACCTTCCTGCTAAGCTGCTGGCTCATCTAACTGCCTACCTAACATTACACTCACAGGTTTAATAAGTGTCCTAAATTTAATAACTCTCAAACAGCTTTGATTTTCTTCCCCAAACTGTCCTTCCTAATCTTCACTGTCTCAGCTGTAAATGGCACCACCACCCACCCTGGTGCTCAAGGCAAACCCTGGGAGTCACCCTTCACTCCTTTTCCTTAATGCATTAGTTAAGTCCTGTCAGCTCTACCTCTAAAATATGCCCAGAATTTGTCCACATTTTTTTCTGTCTCCACTGGCCCTTAGCCACCACCACCCCTTATTAATTGTTGCCTATCCCCGACTCTAGCCACAATGTATTCTCAACAAAGTAGTCAGAGCGATCTTAAAAATTTAGATGAAATCACTTTTGTCACTTAAGGCCCATCAAAAATAAATCCAAGCCCTTATTAAGCCCACATGGCACTCAGGGGTTGCTAATTCAAATGTCTACTACGTAAGAACTGATGACACGAGCCCCATTAAAGGGGACTGGAAGGGGACAGGAGAGCGTAACTGCTCTATGTCGAAAGCAATTGTTATTCAGGAATAATGGTGGCATGGCCAGGTTTTTTTAAAATCTTCAGGAGAAACTGCAAGTCACGATTGTTTGTTTTTAGTGAAATCTCAATAACACTGTCTAGGCCCAGTGTGATCTATGTGCACCCACTTTGTAACCTACCACTCCTGACTTCATCTGCTACACTCTTCCTCTTTATTCTTCATGTCCCAGTTCTCACTGGCTAGCTTTCTGGTCCTCAAATGTGCCATTTCAGGGTTTATGCCCTTGTGGTTCTTGCTAGGAACCTGACTTCCCAAACAGCATGGCGGTTCTCTCTTCATCATTCAGTTCTCAGCCCTAACGTCCCTTTCTCAGATGACATAAAAAACAGCCATCCCCCCACCTCCTGTCACTATCATATGATTTTACGAATGCATTAAATTTGCCACTATCTTAAATTGGCTTGTTTATTTTTATATAAATTAATGTTTTCCCACCAGAATGTAAATTCTATGAGGGCAGTAAGCTTGTCTGTCTTAGCCACAACTTAAAATAACGTCAGGCACATAATAGGGCTTGATAAATAGCTGTTGAATGAATTACACAGCTGGAAGTTGCTTGGGAAAGTGGCAAAGACCAAGCTGACTCATAGACATCAGAACCAAAATAAAAGTCAACCAGCAGCTTCAACAAAGGGCTAAGATATCTTTTCCTGCTGTGTGTCTCCCTTCTCTGGCACATGAAGCCCTTACCTATTCCACAGTAGCACAAGGAGGCATACACAACAGCCTCTAGAGTGCAATGAGCCACCTCTGCATTTAGCAGCCAATAGGAATTCCTCATGGCATCAAATAAGCTAAGAGGAACGTCTGTA